TGTTGAACCAAACATGAATCTAAGAGACCAAATCAAAAGTGTGTAGATTTTTTTTTAATTAGTTAAGTATAAGTTTGTTTAATATACAATAGACCAAATGAAATGTACTGGATATAGATTGTTCATGTGTTCATGATAAAAATCTTAGTAGTAAAATGGATCTTTATAAAATGGTTATGCATGAAAAGAGACCCTGATATCATTCCATCCTAGTTATGCAACAAAGTTACTGGTTATACAAAAAAGTAACATACCATGAAAAACTGATATCATAAAATTTAAGTAGTATAATTTTGCTTTATAAAATTATTTGGATGAATGCATGAAAAAAAATCATCAAAATAAGATACCATGAATGAGGCCTTGAGTGCATGTAAAAATAATTAAACACTAAGCAAAATAAGATACCATGAAATATTGATTTAAGAAAAGTGTTCAACTTAGTGATAGTGTAAGGAACAAAGATGTTTCAATGCATGTTTAAACTTATGTTTGCAAGAAGCAATCAAATTGGCAGATGAATTATTAAGAAAATGTTGATTGAGTTTGTGATGCCTTTGTAATTGCAGCATAATATGGAAGCACATAAGAGTGTTGTATTGACACCATGTAATGTATTAAAAGAACATACTTTGACTTATGTTGGTCACTGATTTTAACATAGAAGAATAAGGAATGACAATTGAAATATAACTTATGAAAATTATCTGAAGTTAGAGGAAGTCGGTGGATCCAAAGTTAAAAAAATTTCTTCCTACATAATATCATGTAATATTAAAGTTTTGTGAAAGAGAAATAGAGTTAAACATAACTTTTCAATTGAAATATATCTCATTTTTAACATCTTTTATTGACAAACTAAGGTAATACACAACTTTTTCTACATTATCTTTGTCATCTTGAGCTAAGAAGCTATCTATAGTGGTTTATAACACTAAAATGCAAAGTTTCACTGGTCTTTTTAAATAATCACTTTATACATGAAAATAAACTTAGAATATTGCCGATAATGCTTTAAATAGAATCTTGGATACACTTTTTAATTTATACTATTTGATTGCTTAAAATTCACATGGATCCACGAAATTTATATAGTATCTGTCACGGTTTAGACATTTTTTTAAAGAAAGATTTTTTATTTACTTTTCTAAAACTAGTAGACTCTATATCAAAATCATTTTTGATAAACTAAAAAGAGTGATTTTGACACCTAATAACTTAAATACCTTTTATTAAAATCTATAACATAATTAAAATCATATAATTTTTTCAAAAAATATTTTTAAAAATTAACTATTCAAAATAGTGATTTGTTTTTATATTTTTTGAAACCATAGAAAAAATAATTAAATAATATTTATATTTAAGAAATAATTTATTTAAACAAATTTTTTATTTAACTTTTTTTAACAAATAAAAAAACATTTAAAGAAATTAAAACAAACCAGCTCTGATACAATACATTTTATTAATTTTTAAAATATCTAGAATATAGGATATGATTAGATATACTTGTTTAAAATAATTTTATATTAAAATGGATAAAATTAAATATATATTTTATTTTAATTTTTCATTCAAATGTTATAAAAGTTTTTAACATGATTATTATTATTATTGTTTAAAATAATTTTGAGAAACTTATATTCAATTTCATTAAGACACTTGGTTGATAGTTATGTAAAAATTAGAATGTGTTTGAACTTTTTTGGTTAACTTATATTTAAAAATAAAGGAAATTTTTTTATGCATTTTAAATATTTCTTAGGCACCAGGTGAAAATATTAAAATGTCTTCAGATTTTAGAGATGTATTTTCGAACATATTAAATTTTGTCTTAACGTTAAAATATTCTGGAGATATATCTTCAAACTTATTTCGAGGATGCATCTCTGGAAGATATTGGAGTTTAAATCGCACCAAAACTTTTCTCCTTGCTCAAACTCTCTCAAAGTGTTTTCCATCAACCAACTCTTAAATCAAACAACCAAGCTCAGAGGTTCTACAATCAACATCAAGTGCATCAGAGACATCATCAAAGTGTGAACTAAACTCTAAATTTGTAAGTTTTTTTTGATGTTTTGAAAAGTTTTTTAGTTTTTGCATAAATGAGTAGAAATTGATTATTAAGATAAGAAATAAGTAGAAATTGCATGAATGATAGTTTAGACATATTGTAAAACATGTTTGATAGCTGAAAAATGATTATTAAACCATTATTTTTGGGGTTTGTAGACTCTATATTGCCGCCATTGACGAACCTGAAGGGTTGCAAAAAATTCTAAAGATGCATCTCCATAATTTTTCAATGTTTAAGCTTCTCAGTAACTGGAGATGCATCTCCAGAAATTAGCAATCTGATTTATTTTTCGGTTTTCTTGTTTGTAGTGTTGCTTGCTTGCACTAATTGTCTGGTCTACTTTTACTTACATGCATTATGGTTGATAGACACGTAATTGCACAACATGCATCAGTGCGGTGGGAGAAGAGTCAGGTTTCGGAGGCTCCTGTTCACTATGGTCATATAGAGACATCTAGTTATGGGGATCATGTTTCTCCATCTTTTTTTCCCGTGTTTCACCTACCGATGCATCACTCCCTTCGTCCTCTCGTAGGTTCTAAGTTTTACATATTCAGGTTTCATAGGTACCCGAATCACCGGTGGTACCGGAGGCACTAATGTCACCTCCGATAGATGATGCTTCTGAGTCAGTGCCACTTCTAGCCGGTGAGGCTATTAAGGATGAAGAACCACCTCAAGCATTTGGAGGAGGCCCTATAGACTTGTCACTACTACCTTTGTACCCTAACCATATTGTTAAACATATATGGGATGAATAAGTAACATTAGTTGGAATCATTGTTTTTAATTTACGCTTATTATTATATTACAAGTTTTTGACATTGATTTATTTTTCTACAGGACCGTGATCCTCTGAAGATTATTAATCACAGGCGGAAGATTATTGGCTTGTCTCAGCCAAATGAGGAGTTGTTTCAGCCAACTTTGTTCCTATCTGGGATGAAAGACTTATGCATGGTCGATTACATTACAGTTAACCACATGATGCTTAATGCATTCGTGGAGAGATGGAAGACTAAGACCTCGTTGTTTCTTCTCCTACTTGGTGAGATGTCTATCACACTCGATAATCAGTCGTGTTTGTTGCATCTTCTGATCAGGGGGGAACTTCTAGATCATGAGAGGATTAAAAAAGACGAGACACTCGAGTTGATAGTAGACTATCTGGGAGTTAACTTAGAGGCTGCGATGATGGAGTTGGAGAGAACCATAGGGGTTCATCCTAGGTTTGAATTCCTCAAAAAGGTATATACATATGAGCTTGTTGGAGCACAACAAGCTAGAGGCAATGACGAGCAGGTTGGCCTACATAGAGCGTATGCTATGAGAGCATACCTGCTATATTTGGTTGGCACTGAGATTTTTATGGACAAAAGTGCCACTTATATAGATGTTGTCTACCTACGGTACTATAAGGACTTCGAGTAGATCCATGAGTACAACTGGGGAGCGTTTGTTTGGTCTACTTGTACTCGAAGTTATTAGATGGTTGTAGGTGGAAGACGAAGCATGTCATGAAGCTGCATGCTACTTCATTTCCCCCACTTAGATGGAACCATATGGCATAACCGTTCAGAGTGTATCTTGATCGCTTGGTTGCCGAGGATATGCACTTCAACAATTATATGGATCAGCGTGAGACGTGGTCATTTGATGAGATAGTTCTATACTCGAGATGGTTGACTTGCGAATTACATCTCACTATTCCTCATCTTCCTAATCGTGTGATGCAGCAGTTTGGCTACACTAAGACCATTCCTAAACACCATGTTGTCTCTTCTCCTCTTGCTTTGACACGTAAATAGATGGATGCCATGTTGGATGATTATGAGAGCCATCTAGTACTAGAGGATGCATAAAATACCATAGTTGGGAGCGATTAGAGCTATGTCGACGGGTACATCAAGTGGTTCTTCTGGGTGTCACATCCGTATATGGTGCATGCTTTTCTAGGAGATCCACCGAGGCCAACTCATCAAGAGATACTAAAGGAGGAGCAAACACAATTAGATAATGTTGAGGATGTCTTACCTAGATGTCGTCACATAGTGGAGATTGCGCATACAGACATTGACAAAGATATCTTTCATGATGGGTTCAATGTGAGGCAGGTCCTAGATGTCATCTTGACAAAGACACGTGTGGAATTGATGTATCGGGGACAGAGCTGGAGAACTGGAGGTATTGAAAGCCAAGGAGTCCGAGGAGGCAAAGAAGATGTAGTATGTCATACACAATATGTAGTAGTTGTACTTTGGATTCATTATGGATTGTATTTTATTTTCACTTCATGCTACTCTATCGTGTATTTTGACTTTATTTATATATAACACTTTTGGATTATCTGGATTTATATACGTCATTTATTGCATATTGATTGTATGATTTAAATCTCGTCACATAACATAGTACATAACGTTTACAAATTCTCATATGAATAAACATAAACAAAACATAACATGCATTATTTTGGTATGTTACGAACATGTATCTCCGTAAAATAAACGAAAATGAATCTTCGAAATAATAAACGTGTAAAATGTCTTCAGGGTGGAATGCATGGTGTCTATTTTAAAATATTACGGAGATGCATCTTCGAAACAGTTAACGTTTAATTTTTAGACAAGATGCATCCAGATATGTATTTTCGAAATTTAAGGGACATTTTAAATTTTTCGAGAGTGTTTTTCCACTCCATAGGATGGGATAAGAAATTCCCAAAATAAATAAATTTAACAAAATAAAAGCCCATGTAAAAGGCCCAATTAAAATTCAAAAGCCCATTAACACTAATGAGTCTGAAAAAAAAAACATCAACACTTCCTTTTGGTGAAAATCCTTCAAAATCGAAAAATCTGAAAGTTGAAGATCTCAAACCCTAACAATCTTTGTGCGAAATTGGTGATTGGGGAAAGAAATGCCTCAGAGACATTCGAAGAACAACAACGATCTCGCTTTCTTCACGTACGACGAGAAGCGGAAGCTTGGTTATGGAACGCAGAAGGAGAGGTTGGGGAAGGATTCAATCAAACCCTTCGATGCTTGCTCTCTCTGTCTCAAATCGTTAATTGATCCCATGAGCTGCCAAAAAGGTCATCTTTTCTGTAAAGAGTGCATTCTTGAGTGCTTGTTGTCTCAGAAGAAAGATATTCAAAGGTACTCTCGAGTTTTTTCTTCTATTCAATAAATTTGAATTTTTGATTTGTGTATATTGAAATTTGAATGCTATATAGTGGTTATATGAACATCAGAAACTGATTATAATCAATAAAAGAATGAACTTTTTTTTGTTGGGTTTGAATTCTTAACTTGCTGGCCACTAGATGCAAAAGAGACTCTGAAATTATTCAAAGTTAAATCAATATTTTGTTTGTTGCTTAGTATAATCCAAGAATTTCTGCACCCAGAAACTTGAAGTATTTCGCTGGCGTGAAATTTCAAAATGAATCTGTGGTGTTGGCCAGACAATTTATTGGAGCTCAAATCTCCATTATTCATACTTAATATAGAACTAGAAGGAAACGAGGAAAGTAAGATTCACGAATAGTCTGGACTGGTGTGATAGAATTAGAATTTAGCCTAACTCATTCCTACAAAACTGGTTTGTAAGGTAAGGGGGTATCACTCTATGTAAACCCTTAGTGGATTTATCTTTAAGCAATGTAGGACTTGACTTTTTCCCAATACACCCCTCATGCACCACACTATTGGACTCGGTTCGTGGATATAAATGGTGGGTGGCTAATATTATTGGTATGTGGGACTTGGTTTTTCCAATACACTCTCTTGCGCCAATCACTATTGGTCTTGATGCACATATAAACGGTGGATGGTCCGAATCGATAGGCATGTGATACCATTATAAAATTAGAATTTATTCTAACTCATCCCTACAAAATTGGCATGTAAGGTGAGGGGTGTCACTCTATATGGTGGGCGATACTCCCAAAACACTGTCCAAGAGTATGTTGGGCTTTAATAAGGCAACTTCTATCTCTTGATTTAATATTAATCTAGGGTCGATTGGTGTTTTTAATTTTAAAGTCAAACTTATTCCTCTGCCTTCTTAGAACTGTTGAGCATACTCAGTGTCACACGCCCTATGGTCAACCGTTTTAAGGAAGCAATGTAAAGAAGGCTGAGGGATACGCTTGACTTTTAAATCAAAAACACCAACCGATCCTAGATTAAAAACATTGACACACAATCCAGTGTCCTACCTATATGCCACAGGCCAATGATAAAAGCGTGAAGGATATCCTGTACTACTAGACACTTATTTTCTCTAAGCTCATCAAAAACTTAGAGAAGTCAGAAGTCGAGCATACAAAATAGTTGCTGAGATGGAACCCCCTTTCAACCAGAACACCAATCATTTTTTGAATAATTCAGTTGATATATTTTGATCTACCGTCTTTAAAATGAATTAGCGGTTTTAAATGCGTCTAGTGCAGCTCTCATGTCAGTGGTCAAAATTAAAATTTTTCTCTCAGTTCAAAATAAGCTCATGCATCACGAGGATCAATATTTGTAGCTTTTCTAATAAGTTCCTCACCCTTGTCGGTCTGACCAAACTGAGCATACTTGTAGCCAAGAATTTGCAGTATCGGGTACACCATCAAAATCCTTCTGAAAGTTTGAGAGTACACTCCGTATATCTTCCCACTTCATTTGTACTTGTCACACTCCATTTATGCCCTTACTTTGCCTTCGAGCTTCAAACCCTCTAAATTTTGAATAAAATGATACAACATATGTAATAAGCTTCCTCCCGTACTCTGCTGTAACATTTTACTTCTCCCAACCTTGATGCATTCTTCCAGCTCCTTCTTGCATGCCCATTCTGTCCTACCACAACCAGATCCTTTCTGACAAGTTTATTTCCTTGGAATATGAATTTCTGTTTTTTGCACCAAAATCACAGGGGTTGTGCCCCAGTATTTGTATCATTTTATTCCTTCAATTCTTTGGGCTGACGCTTGGCCTATTGAAGCCAAAATAGTGGCTAATTGAAGAACCACTTTTTTAGTTTTTCTTTATTTATCTCCTTGCTAAAACCTACTCCGGCTCAATCTTTAGCTCAAAAAACAAGTCTATTTTGCCAAGTTTCCATGCGGGGCTTCCTTCTTCCTTTTCCTTTCGAATTGATCGGGATCACCTAAGTCCGATCCATGTCTGCAGCAATTTTAGCCACACTTTTATTACTTCCAACTGAACTCTGGATTACCGAGACTCCCTTCCTCTGTGAATCTGATAATTAAGACCAAAAATAATTAATTCTTTCTTGTGAAGGATGTAGCTGTTGTGTACGCTGCCGTGACAACACAGTTGGCAAGGATATGCAAATCACCACATAATGATTAGCATGTGGTGGCTCTTGGGGGTGGGTGGTAGTGGATTGGTAATTGGTCGAGTCCAGTTACTCAAGAGAGACACTCATTGCTGCGCTAAACGTTGTTTGCTCTGCCGGTAATGTCACGCTATCAAACACATGTGGGTTAGCATCCAGTGGGAGCATAGTCAAACTACCTTTGGTTTGGATTTCCATTGTTGCCTTAGGAAATTCCTGATCTGACAGTTTGAACGACAGATAAAGGATGGTTTGAATCCTTTGTGACCAAGAACTTGTCCTATCACCATCACACTTTGACTTTTCAACACTTTTTGTCATTGTGAGCAAAACATATTGGCTGCTCCATTTCTTCTTCACAAAGATTCTTTGTTCTTTCATTTTCTCAACTGAATGCTCAAAAAATCAATGGACGATTCCATCTGTCATCAGTCTTTTTGTTCTATGGTAGTTAATATCTCAAAAGTCCAGCTACCATAATTGATCCAGTTTTTCATGAACTTTTCAATTGGCTTTGTTTGATTTAACTTCATCAATGTTGACATAATCTTTGACACTTTCGGCAATTTCCTTATTCCTTAAATAGGTTAGGTGCTCTATTAGCTGCCGTTGTTTTATTTTTTGCAATCTGTATGATAAACTAAATGAATTTACTAGTTCTATAAAGAGTCTTCTGTTTCCTATAAATTGTGATAGCTGGTCTAAGTTCTTATGGAGAATATATTCCATTACTTTGTTCAGAAATTTGAATATATGTTGTCCTTATGCATGTTACATTTTCTTGCTATGGATACTAGTTACATTTTCTTGCTATGGATACTAGTTACATTTTCTTGCTATGGATACTACCAGTAATATGTTGTGAACATTAACAATGTTGGTTTTGATATTGCCATTTGCAATAAAATAGGAGGCTTGTGGCACATTCTGCTCAGCAGAAGCAAGAAAAAGAAGAGGAAGAAGAGAAATTAACGTTGCAGAAGGCTAAAGAGCTTGATGCATTTGATCAGCAGAATCACGGTGCTGTACCACAATACAGCGATAGAAGCTATAACCGAGATAAGAATGGTTTCCATGGAGCAAACAGTGTCAAGGTCACTTCCTATGAGGAGGAAGCCCTTAGAACAATGAAGGCATTTTGGCTGCCTTCCGCTACACCAGAAGCTTCTGTTAAAGTAGACGCCCCTTCTACCACTACCATCTGTCCAGAAGGCAAGGAGAATCTGAAGTTAAAGACACTTTTCCCTGTCCAGTTCACCGAAGATACTAGCGAGCAGAAAAAATCCAACGCCCTTGACAGGAGCTACGTCTGTCCTAGCTGCAAAACCACTCTCACCAACACAATGTCACTTGTAGCCCTCAGTTCATGCGGGCATGTTTTTTGCAAAAAATGTTCCGACAGGTTTATGGCTGTCGACAAGGTTTGTCTTGTTTGCAACAAGGCATGTAAAGAGAGACATCTGGTGAATTTGAAGAGGGGAGGTACAGGTTTCGCCGGTCACGATGATAATCTTGAAGCCAAAGATTTCAAGCATTTGGGAAGCGGATCTGGTTTGGGGTTGGTTAGACCCGCGATGAAAACTTAAAGCTGTAACGGGGTATACTGACCCGCCAAGAAAACATAAAAGCTGTAATGGGGCATACTCATCACCTTCTTCTTCATTGTTTAATTAGTTTACTACTTGTATTATAGATTTGGTTTTCTATATTTGCTCAGTTCAAATCACACCTGATGGATCGAAAAACCAAATTGTTCTGTTAGATGTAGTGGATCTAATTTCAACTATATTAATTCAAGTACGAGTAATATTTAATGAGTCACAAATCACAATGATAGTTGAAGGTGAGGTGGATTTTGTGGTCAATATTTCATGTGAATAACTTGATGCACGTGGGCTGCTTCAAGAAACAGGCAGGCAAACAGGTTGAAGGTCTTATCCTCCAACGCAACGAAAAGACATTGAAACAAAAGCCAATTATAGAAAGTGGAAATCTTTCGTTTTCAACTTAAAAGTCCTACATGATTGCGGCCATTCTCACAATTTGTTTGCATAGTTACTGTACATGTTTTGAAAAATCACATAAAATACTGCTCAAGTTGCCTGAATGGGTGGGTAATGCAACGGTGTATCGTGACTGTGATATTTTATCTATACACATGTACTCTCTTATATCATCCATATCCTCACTGTTAATGATAAAATTCATTTTAATTGAGTACTGATTTCTACGAAATCACAAAATTTTATCAAACTTGAAATATTAATCATTCATGATATTGTAGTTTCTAATAATAGTTTTTTATTTAAATATTTCACAAAAAAATAGATATTTTAAATCTTCAAAAAAATACTAAAATAAAAATGATGACTGAGATAGATAGATAGATATATATATGTTGAATATTTTTAAGATAAAAAATATGTTGAATAACTTTCTTATGTTTGCTATCCATTAATATAAGACCATGTTCAAACTCACAAACATTAATACTTTTTTATGATAATTTTTATTAAATTGATAATTGAGAAACATAATTTTTTCTCTCATATTACGTATAATTAGGTATAGAAATGGTTATGTAAAAGTAAGACTGTTGCGTGCCTTTCTCATATTATATAATTAATTATAAAAAAAAATAATTATGTAACAGTTAGACTATTGCATGCCCGAAGATTATTTTCAAAATCAAAATCTTTTAGTTAAAAAGAAATTATTAATTATTATGCAAAAATATTAAAATGTTTTTTAGATTTTAGATATCTCTGAACGTTTTAAATACGCACATTTTATTCGTTTTTGAATCACACCCCTATTTTATGAATAAATTTATTTTGAAAATATATTTTCAAAAATGCATTTTCAAAATTGATTGAACAAAAAAAACAACAAAGAAAATAAAAAAGGTTCAATAAAATTTGAGTTTCACACACAAAAAAAGAAGGATGCCTATCATCATACATATATTTCTCCATGTTACACTTATACACTGATACCGAATTGAACAAACTTGTTATAACGGGATTTCCCTTATATATCTCCAAGAGTTTCATAAATTTCAAAAACACACTCTTAAAAATTTATTATTACCTCTCTAAGATTACTTCTATGATTCTTTAACTCTTATCTTTGTCTTTAGCTCTAAAGTAGGGAAGGTTGTGATGGAAAACAACATTAGATACATGTTTATAACTACTGAACCCTGTCATATCCATAACATGGTTAATACATAACGCATAAATCAACATATCCACAAATTAAAACAACAAAGTCAATACACACAAACCAAGAAAACTGAATTTGAGCTTTGACAAATTGAACCTTTTCGGACCAATGCCCACTATCGTGCCACTTCTAGTCTCCCGCCACACTAGCTCAATTATGAGCCCTACTCTATGTTATGTCGTCTTCGTCAACAAGGACGTCCTCGAGATTTTGAGTGCTCTGTCGAAATTATGAATTTGATTTTCTTTTTTTTAATTCATTATTTTTTTTTACAAGATTTATAAGTCATATAATTATAAATATGTAATTGTAAAAAAAGTAAAAAAATTACATTAATATTGAAAAGTTTACACCAAATTAAAACTACAATAAAATTATGACAAAAGTAGTTATAATGTATCTATCAATCCGAACATGTATCAGTAGCATTCAAATCTTCAGCTACAACCTCAAGCTAATAATCTTTGAATATCATCCTCCTAGAATATTTTGCTTCAAAATCACCAATAATTTGATCAAAATTAAGATTCTTTAAAAAATCTTCTTCAATTGAAATTAAAGTAAAACTATTTAATCTAATCCGCGACATTGTCGATCGCAAATAAGATTTTAGCAATTATAATTTTGAAAAATTATTCTCAACCGATGCAATAGTAACATGAATAGTTAATATTATTGTTCCAAACTGACGCAATGGCTAGGCATGACCCAACCCACTTCTACTCCCAGAACGACCCAATTGTCTAAGTCACACAACACTTCTCTCCGTTAGTCTCTGCCCATCACGCACGGTTTCACCATTCAGAAACAGCATAGACGCTTATGCCCGTAACTACGCCCGTGCCCGTGCCAACGGCTAGTTATGGGCACGTCTGCCCGTTCCAACGACTATTTCTAGTAGTTACCTATTCTTCGGGAAACGGTTATCTCGTCCCGAAAATAGGGACCAATTTGAGAGGGTAAGCTATCCAATTTCTCACCTTAAAACACATATATTCTGTATTTGCTCGCTCTCTTACTCGTTTTCTTACTTTAGCATCGGAGTGCTTTGCAGGTACACTCCCCTCCTCCTCTTGCACACCCAGTATCACAGACGTTTGTCTTTGTCACATCTCAGGTTCTGATCGTTCGGTAAGATGCATGCATTAAGAAAACAATTGAATATCTTAAGAGAACTCAATATTATAAAACTAGATTTTGATTCAACTGTTAAAATCTCTATGATGATTTTTAATTCTTATAAAATTTCACCATTAAGATCATAAGAATTGTCATGTTTCAAATAGGTTTCAAGATTTATGCAAGACAATTTCAAGTTCTCATCATAAAATAACTTAAGTCTTTCAATATTAAACAAAAATCTAAAAGTATTCTCATATGTGCTATATTGCTCAAATCTTCTATTAAGTGAGCAAATCGCTTGATCAACAATGTATAAAAAATCCTAAAGACTCTTCAGTAGACTTAAGATTTGATTGTGTGCATTCAAATGGATTTTCATCATAAGGTTTCTATCTATGAATTTGACATTTTTGAGTAAACACACACTCAATGTCCATTTCATTTGAAATTATTTCAGCATTAGCAATAGCCTTTGCAAAATCAGATTCTCTATATTTTTCAAGTGTGTACTCAAATATTTTACTATCTGAATAGCCACATCAATTCGTATGTCTTTTTTTTGTTGTTGTAAACTTGTGATAATTTCATTAACAACAAATAACAACTCAAACTAGATAGTCATAACTAGTAAAAATTCAAAGTTCTTAATTCCATGATGTGCTAAAGATTCAACTTCGTTCTTAATCTTTGGATCATTATCTTGTTCTACTAGTTGAAGTAAAGCTTCTCTTATATCTGAAGCTTGATTTTTAATTGCATTTATGTTATTTACGTGATTTTCCCAACGTGTTTGTGACCATGGTTTGAGAGTTAAATCTTTCATATTATCTCTTAAAAATTTTCAACAATTTATGGAATGAGAGAATATATGGAAAATACGTTGTAGTACTTCAAAAAAAAAATTCTAGCTTTAGAACAAGAATTGCAATGTCATATAGTGTCAAGTTAACACTATAACAACCACATGGTGTGTACAATATTCTAGGATTTATATCTAACATTTTTTTATACACCTTAATGTTTTTCTTTCATGTTTGATCCATTATCATATCGTCTCACATTATTAATATAAGACCAAGTGTGGCCTTTAATCATGTGCCCACTCTCTTACTCTTACTTGATTTGGAGTTTTGAATCTTAACATTAATTTAAAATTCATATTCATTCAATTCTCCTTCATCGATGCTCATGGCCTTCTTCGGTTTACTCCAATCCACCAATGTTTAAGCACGAAATTTGATGAAGTGAAGTGTTTGAAGATATTATTATGATCCCCTAAAATTTTAATTTGAGCTCATGACTATGTAGATTTATTCTAATCCAACATCTTAAATTTACTTCAGTCTAGTTCAAATGCAAGACGGGGAACAATAAAATGTTGATTTATGAAAGATCATTATATATTTAAATACATAGATATACATATTAATAAAGAGAATATGAATTTAAATCACTTTACTACATTTTTTAGACACTTATTTTATTATTAAACAAATTAATATTTATATTAATTTTAAATTTTATTAAATATTTTTTTGACTCAACCTTTATTTTATTGATAAAAAACATTGATTTCTTTACATTTTAAAAATTTGTAAAATATTTTGAAATCTTAAAAATCAATATTATAAAATTTTGGAAATCCAAAATAAAATTTGTTTTGATCATAGATAATCTTTTTAAAAAATCTTTTAAAATATCAATATAATTCTACAAATTTTTTTTAAAATCTTCAAGACTTTTATTACTAAAATAATCTCCTAATAAAATTTCTTTCCAATCCCTTTAATTTATTTTGACACTCTTATTTTGTAAGGGTTAATTCATTCAAACATGGAGTAATAAGTACATTATTCACATTTGACCAACACAAGGAATCTATTAGCTTTATACTTTTCAAAATTGTCTTGTAATTTAAGTTAAACATTTAAAAATCTATAATATGTGAAATACTCTAATTAATTTAATCCAAAATTATTAAATTTCATTAAAAAGTTGAAAGTTAAAGTTAAATGTTTGACTTAAAAAATGTAAAATAAATAAATACCAAAATATTTTTTTTGACTCGCATTGATTGCTTTATTTCCCCTTTTTGAGTAATTGAGTCAAGAAAATAGGACTTGATTTTATCCATATTATGTAGGTGTTATTCCCAATATTTTCTTCTAGTTTTCTTAGTAGGACCACTTTATAATGATACCACTTATGACATAACCTACCATAATAATTCCAACAGAAA